ACCTTCGTGGGCGTCCACGTGCGCCGGGGGGACTACCTGCAGATCATGCCCCAGCGCTGGAAGGGGGTGGTGGGCGACCGCGCCTACCTGCGGGAGGCCATGGACTGGTTCCGGGCCCGGCACGAAGCCCCCGTCTTTGTGGTCATCAGCAACGGCATGGCCTGGTGCCGGGAGAACGTGGACGCGTCTCGGGGGGACGTGGTCTTTGCCGGCGACGGACAGGAGGCCTCGCCCGGGAAGGACTTTGCGCTGCTCACGCAGTGTAACCACACCATCATGACCATCGGTACCTTCGGCTTCTGGGCCGCCTACCTGGCAGGCGGAGACACCGTCTACCTGGCCAACTTCACCCTGCCCGACTCCAGCTTCCTGGAGATCTTCAAGCCCGAGGCCTCCTTCCTGCCCGAGTGGGTGGGCATTAATGCGGATTTGTCTCCGCTCCAGAAATCTAGGTCTCCGGGGCCCTAGCAGCTTCTGGGGGAACTTGCGGCGGTCCTGCAGCAGGCGGGCACCGTTTCAAGAGTGATTCTAGTTGGCTAGGCCTTCAGAAAAAGAGAGGCTTCCAGAAACTGCTGAACATTCTAGAACCAGCAGGAAATACTGTCCTGACGGGCGAGGTCTGGGCCACCTGTGGTGCCCAGCCTTTACCCACAATGTGGGTGGCTGCCCCCCAGGAGCCGGGAACTACCCTCTCTAGTGCTAACTACTCAGGTCTTTTCTAGAAGAGATGTTTTTCTTCTCCTGGGCCCTCAGGACGGAAGGAACTCGCGGGTGTTCTAGAGCAAGTGCTGGCCAACGCCCCCTGTGTTTCTGGAGTGGTTCTAGACGGGTCATTTGCTCTAGAGGGGGGCACGCGCTAATGCCCGTGAAGAACCCTGCAGAGGGATGGGGGGGGGGGTCCTGGAATTCTGGATCACTTTGGTGAAGAGTTGAATAAAGGTACAATCAGAAGCTCAACACCTCACCACTGCCCAGAAGATGGATGGGAGACAGATTACATGCAGCTGGGGCAGTTTGTGCGAAGAGGGAAACTCTAGTCCACTCTCAGCCCCTGGGGAAAACCACTCCCCCTCCCCCCAGCAGATAGGCTAAAAGGTGGGAGGTGGAGGAAGGGAGTGGCTGCTAAAATGCTGGAACTTCCGGAACTGTAATGAGACTTCTTTTTTTTTTTTTAAGCTCAGAAACTGACATGTTGCCCCCCAGTATGGGATGCCTCTCCCAGTTAAGGGTGGTCCTTCCTTCGCAGCTGGGCGGCGTCGGGAGATGGGATGGATTTGGAGTCAACTGGGATATATGTGCCCTCTGGGCTGGCAGAAAGCCGCTGGTATTGGCCCCCTTGCCAACCACTGTCTGCCCCTAAATTCACTGACTCTGGCCTTGGGCAAGTGAGGGGTGGGCAGATCCGAGGGTATGCAGACCCTGGGCTAGTTTCACACCCAAGCAGGAGCGCCCTTGGATAGGATCTAGCCAAGGAGGACCGGATTCTTGACTCAGATTTCAGGAGCCCCTTAGTGCTTTTTTTTTTTTTTTAATATATCTTTATTGATTTCAGAGAGGAAGGGAGAAGGAGAGAGAGAAAAACATCAAAGATGAGAGAGAACCATTGATCGGCTGCCTCCTGCATGTCCCCTGCTGGGGATCAAGCCCGCACGCAACCTGGGCATGTGCCCTTGACCGGAATCGAACCTGAGACCCTTCAGTCCGCAGGTTGACTCTCTAACCACTGAGCCAAACCAGCTGGGGCCCCTTGATGCTTTTTGAAGGGGATGAAAGTAGATGCTTTTATTCCAGACTTGTTTCTAGTCTTCTCATGGAGGTTTGTATTTTTTTGGGGGGAGGGGAGGGTTGGAGGGGGGCTATTCCCTACTCAGCTGCCATGGGTGGGAGAGGGAGGTATGAATTAAAAGTCCACATCAGCAAACTCTGTAATTTTTTTTGGGAGTCGTGTGTGTGT